TCTGACTGGATGATCTGGTGAACTGGAAAGTGACCCGAGATGAGATGATGTGAATTTGAGCTATAGAAATAAACTGAATAGAATTGTCTCATTACCCCCCGGTCTGGGATGTCTTACCCAATGCATCCTTTGCTTCCCAGCCTCTCCCCCAGTCTGAGCCCACTCCCCTGAGGGCGGGGTCCGCTGGATCATAGCTGTAGTCCGCAGACTGTTCTTCAGAGGCGGTTGCTCTCAGCCTGTTCTCCGGCTGTTCTGGGTACTCCCAAAACAAAGGCCAGAACAGTTTCCTGTGACTGTTGATCCACTCGGAGGACGAAAGCGACCAATCATTCCTCTGGTTCTCCTTCGCCAGGTCTATCTCCACCTCTGTCTCCGTCTGGGAGTCCTCCACCACCTCGATGGTCACCTGGAAGAAGCAAAGATTCCTCGGTTTTACCCACCAACCTGCAGCTAGCGGCCATTCTGCATCATGCAATCCGATGTGACCTTTTAGGAATCAGAATGGGGTTTTATCGGCACGTTCTGCTCTCTCTGCTTTTTCTCATAGTAGCTTCATCTGGTCTGTTCCTGTTTGGCTGTGACTCCATCCTGGAGAGAAATATCATCTGTGCTGCTGCCATCAACACCTTTGTTTCTAGATGTTGGAGCTTGGCCGGTTTTTCAGTGTTTAGTCCCGTTTCTCCCCTACAGCTATGGGCTGAGCTTTTACTGAGACTAACTGGAGCTGCTCTCTTTCATCCTCTGACATGAAAACTGAAACAGAGTTCATCTGATTAACTGTTTCTTTCCCAGACAATGAGGCTGATTTACCGTTAGCTTTTCTGACATAGAAACCATTTATAGATCTGTCACTCAATAAGGACTGTGTCGTTCAAATCGATGACTCAATGCAAAGCTAATCTAACTGTAAAGTTTCTGTAAAGTGACACGCAGTGAAGTGGCAGCCCTATTTAAACAGGCAAAGACCAAGACTGGACCATTAAAACCATTAAAGACCTTCTTACTGGCCCAGTTCAATAAAAAAACAGACACTGATTCATTATCATTTCTTGCTCCTTTCATGTTTTTTTAGAATATTCGATTTTTGGATATAGACCCAAATCATGAGGCAAAGAGCGTAATTCCAGCAGTGTGTTTTTGATAATTAAGGATAAAAGTTTCCTCCCCTGAATGCACTCAGCCGGCCCCAGTCATCTGCGTCTTGGTTTCGACTAAATCAAGCTTAGATCAGAACCAAGCAGAGTGGAGCTCCGTTGTTCTGAAGGCGTTTCTGCACCAGGAGTCTCTGTTTCCTGAATCTGAAGCCTTGGCTGCATCTTGGTGTTTTTCCAGAGCGGCTCACATTCCTCCACCTCAGAGCGGATGAGGGCAGCCATGGCGAGGCCTCAGGTACGTTCACCTCCATGAGATCAGATTAAAGACGAACCTTATGAAAGACGCTCATTGTGCTGCAGGAGCTGCAGAGATGAAGAGATGAACCGATAGCAGCTGCTGAATGTCTCTTTGTCTAACAGGTCCGAGTCGTCTCCAGCTGCTCATCTTCACTGAGGAAGGATTAAGTCCAAGTCTCCCAGCAGCGGTTCTGTAATCTAGAAGGTCAGTGGTTCTTCAGACCATCTGGTTTGGGCTGGATTCTGCTGCGGGATTTAAGCTAGCAGTGTGGTTGGACGTACATTGGACGCTCTGTCCTGAAATATTAAAAATAGGACGCCTGAATTTTCACCTGGAAAATTTGCCTTCCTAGTCTCACATAATCTCACATCTCACAAACCATAGAGAGCAAGAGTGGTAAGAACAGCAGAGAGGATCATGGGGGCTCTTCTTCCCTCCATTAAAGACATTTCATCCCAGCGCTGCGTGTCACGAGCCCGTGACATCATCAATGACCCCTCACCCCCCCACCATGGCCTGTTTCCCTGCTGCCATCTGGGAAGAGGCTTCACAGCATTGAATGCAGGTCCAGCAGCTTCTTCCCCACCACCATCAGACTAATAACACCAAACCAAAACACTGCAGATTTGCTCCATAGATATTAATGCTCTGAACTTCCAGATCAATGAGAGCTGGACTGAACAAAACGTAAACACTCTATGTACAAAACGTTTGTCTAAGTCTAAAGTTATTGGTCAATTGTTGGAGTGACACAGCACGGAGGAGCGCCGTTATTGGTGGAATATCCAATGTCCCTACGGACAGCTTCATTGGCGGGAAAGAGCACGCTGCGAAGTTTGCAAACCGGGAAACTTTGAAAAGTTTACGAAAACTCATTGAATTCCAGATAACTATAGGATTATTTTGGAGGTTTTTTATTTCTTTTATACGATACTGTCGGGAAAAACGGGGAAAAACAACAGCAAACGTAAATGACAGCTGTCAAACACACAAACTTCCCATGATCAGGTCCGGAATGTTGGAACTTTATTCCACCTCAACAAGCAGGAAATGTCGTCTCAGAGTCTAAACTTCAAACTTTTAGGCCTAAAGACGCGATGCGGTGGACACACTATGACATATTCCTCGCTAGAAGCCTGTTCTGTTGGCGTCCATTTTTACTGACCCAGTCCTCCGTCCCAAAGTCCAGCTCAGTTCTGGTTCTGGTTGGTCTCTGCTGTCATGGAATCTAGTTCCTCATCCGGTTCCGTTTGGTTCAGATCTGCTCCTTGAGCTCCCTGCTCTCAGCAGGAGTCTGACCTTCACCGCTGAGCAGGAGATCAGGACGACAGCGGGCCTGGGAGCCAGAACTGGACCCGACGGTCAGAACCGGACCCGATGGCGGGAACCGGATCTGTTGGCCAGAACCAGACCCTACGGCAGGACCCGGACCTGATGGTGAGAACCGGACCCGACAGCCGGACCCGGACCCAATGGTCAGAACCGGAACTGACGCCAGAACTGGACCCGATGGCCGGAACTGGATCTGTTGGCCAGAACCGGACCTGACGCCAAACTGGACCCGATGGTGAGAACCGGACCCGACAGCCGGACCCGGACCCGATGGTCAGAACCAGACCCTACGGCAGGACCTGGACCTGATGGTCAGAACCGGACCCGACGGCCGGACCCAGATCTGATGGTCAGAACCGGACCAGACGGCCACAGCCGGACCTGATGATCAGAACTGGACCAGACGGCCATAGCCGGACCTGATGTTCAGAACTGGACCAGACGGCCAGAGCCGGATCTGACGGTCAGAGCTGAAGCAGCTGCATGAACACGCAGAGGAGTTCTTACCTGGATGTTGGGGTTTTGAGAGCCCACGTCTGCATTGGCCAGATCAGGGAAGTTCCTCAGGTCCAGGATGAAGCCTCCTGGCTCCTCTTCAGTTTCAGCTGCTGGGAGGCGGTCCCGGGACCGGGGGCGTCTGGATAAGGAAGGAGACGAAGGAGGAAGGTTCTCCTGCAGAAGATGCTCCAGATCCACATGATCCTGTGCTCCAGCAGCTTTGCCCTAAAAAAACAACAGATTGGTTCTGTTGGACCCAGATAGCAGCAGCTCAAAGGAGGAGGGACCAGAACGAGGGAGGAGATCATGCTCTGCAGCTTCGGTTCATGGAGCAAACATGTTCCTGAGCAGAACCAGAGGAACTGGATCACCTCTAAAGATGTTCTGGATTCAGATGGGACCCAATCAGAAGTTCTGACAGAACATAAAGAACCGTCCTGATTCCAAAGATCAGCAGCGAGGAGTTTAGATGGAGGAGAAGGAGGCCTCAGTCCTGCCGAGCGGCTCCCACATCAGGTTTCTGTACTTTGACTAAACAGCGACTCCTGGAACACTGGTCAGATATGTCACTTCCTGTCAGCTGAATGCGGCTGACTGGACTTCATCCTCTTCCTCTTAAAGTCAGCAGCTGGTAGCAGGCAGCTTGGCTCCATCTTTACCAGAACTAAATCCTTAACTGGAAGGAAAAGAGGATCATCTGTCATGATCTCAGCACTGATATTCAGTCTGATTACTCATTTTATTCTCGCTTAGCTCCGCCCACTTCTCATTACCGTTCATCTGATTCACCTACTTCAGCCTCTATTTAACCAGCATTCGACCAGTCATCAGCGCCAGATTATTTGAGCCTTTGGGGAGATTCTCCCGTGTTCCTCAGTGTTTCTGATTGCCTGATCCTGCCTGATCCTGACCCATTCTACCTCTGGACTTCTGAGCCTGCTTGTTCCGGCCTGATTCCTGCCTTAAACGCCAACGCTGTTCTCAGCATGTCTGGCTTAAATAAATATTCTGTTTAATGTAACCGTCTTTCCACCTCGAAAGCTGGGTCATTTAGTTCTGAGCATAATCATCGGACTAGATCAAACTGGTTCAGGTCAGTGAGTAGGTGGTTCCCAGTTCCCAGCAGGGACAGACAGATTGTAGCCAATATCGATAATAATTCTGCTTTTATGGCCGATAAGTGACCCTAACTTTAGACCGACCACAGACCATCACTCAGTCAAACACCCACAATCCTTTGCTGCAACACCATTACTATCAGATGACCAAATTAACCCCCTATAAAGCTTCTATTATTAATTGTCCATTTATGAATGGATGGATGGATGGATGGATGGATGGATGGATGGATGGATGGATGGATGGATAGATGGATGATGAATGGATGATGGATGGATTGATGATGAATGGATGGATGATGAATGGATGATGGATGCATGGATGATGGATGGATGGATGGATGATTGATGGATGGATGGATGGATGGATGGATGGATGGATGGATGGATGTATGGGTGGATGGATGGATGATTGATGGATGGATGGATGATGAATGGATGATGGATGGATGGATGGATGGATGATGAATGGATGATGGATGGATGGATGATGGATAGATGATGAATTGATGATGCATGGATGGATTGATGATGGCTGGGTGGATGGATGGTTGATTTATGGATGGATGGATGGATGGATGGATGGATGGATGGATGGATGGATGGATGGATGGACGGATGGATGGATGGAACCACTCATCACAGGGCTGGAACCATCCCTACAGGAAGTACGGTGAGGACAGTATCATGCTGTGGGATGATGTTCAGCCCTGGCAGGCGGCTCAGGATGGAGCTAAAGGCTGAGTTACTGCCAAAACAAAGTTGGCTATGAAGGTAAGGTGTGAATACTTCTGGAAATTATATTTCTCCCTCATCTGTAATAAGATAATATCAATCTAAAAAAGGTTATGTACATCGTCATAATCAGGAGACATCTGAAGCTTAAGAGAGGAAAAAAAATCATTTCATCTCATCTGGATCCTAGAACAGAACTTCCAGTGGAAAAGTTCAGAGGTGTGAATATTTTCTGGATGAGCCAGGGCCCCGGTCTGCTGGGATAAAGTCTAGGATGCATAGATCTGGAGTTCAGACTGAACGTAAAAGTCCTGAATCAGCGGATCGAGTCACAGAGCTGCAGGACATCTGAGAAGCGTCCTTCCAGCAACCCCTGCTCCTCAGGAAGATCATAAATCTGACGCCTTCTGAGAAATGCAGCCGCAGCCTGACGGGTTCTGCTGGGAGCAGCTGAGTATCTGGGCCGGGTCACAGCAGAACCTCCTCCCAGAGGAGCCCAAAGCCTGCTGGGAGCAGCTGAGTATCTGGGCCGGGTCACAGCAGAACCTCCAAAGCCTGCTGGGAGCTTTCTATAAGAGACGCCTGGAGAGCAGAGATGGAGGAGAACCTCTGACCTCTAAATCTAGACTGGAAGGAATTATGATCATTATTATGTTGATTATTATTGTTATTATTATAATTATTGGCTCATTGTTATTGATTCCTCTGGTTGATCTTTGGGTCTCAGGTTAGAGATGAAATAATAAACCAGAAATCTTCTCTTGGAAAGTTTGGATCTGTGCTGCAGAATGACCGAAAGGTTCGGATGGTCCCTGCAGACTGCAGCGGGTCCAGGTGAGGTCTTACCTGGGCGGAGGTGTTCGGGTTTGGGAGTCCAAAGAGCGGCTCCGCAGCCAGGATCAGCAGCCACAGAGGCAGCGCTTCTCTCAGCTCCATAGTCCCAAAGGTTCTGCTCCAAACTGGAAGCTCCTGCAGCCTACAGACCGGACATGGTGGCCGTGGGAAGCTTTCCACGCGAGGTCCTGAAGTGCATGATCCCAACTCTGTGTGTATTTGAACCGAACCCAGCGGGTCCACGGAGTTCTGCAGGAACCGCGTGTTGAAGCGGAACCGCCCCACCGAGGGCAGAGCCACGCCCACTTTCCCCGGACCACGGTCCGAATAAACATACGGCGAGGACGTCACACATCAGAAAAAGAGCCACATGTTCAGCAGAACCGAAGTCATTGATTATTTTATTGGCTTTTTTATTATTATTATTTTTGCTTTGATCTTTTTTTATCTGTAAATAATCCAAACATTTAACTTTATCCTCTCCTTCCATCCTCGCTGCCTGCTCACGTCTGAAATGTTGGAGATCAAAGATCCACCTTTAGAATCAGATTAATAATCCGGTTCCAACATAATCCACACTTCTAACATTAACTAGTCCCAAACTGGGCTTAAATCAGTCAAATGGACCCAACAGAACCAGAGCAGCACCAGGAGGTCCAGACGAGCAGACATTTGTTCTCATTTGGAAAAACATGAGAGAAGGAAGCTTGAAGTTTCCTGAAACTTCCCAGAATCCTTTCATTCCCGGCAGAATAGGTTCTGATCCCATTGGAGGCTCCTCTCTCAGCGCCGGGATCAGAACCGGATCAGAACCTGCTGAAGAATTCAAGCTCCAGCTACAGAGGAAGAATGGAGGGTCAAAGGTGAGAGAGTTTCCAGATGGTTCTGGTTCTACTTCAGCTTTGATTCAGAACACATGTTTCTATGAGGAGGAGCTGAGATCATCAGTTCCTCACAGACTGCAAAACAACAAGAGCTCAAAATACGGTTGGACTAAGACTCAGTTTAGATTTAGTTCTGGTCAGATTGAGGTTGGACTAAAGCTCAGTTTAGATTTAGTTCTGGTCAGATTGAGGTTGGACTAAAGCTCAGTTTAGATTTAGTTCTG